AGTAGCAGTAGCAGTAGCAGTAGCAGTAGCAGTAGCAGTAGCAGTAGTAGTAGTAGTAGTAGTAGTAGTAGTAGTATTTGTAGCAATAGCAGAACAACATTTAGTAATAAAGTTAGTTTATCCCGAAGGGCTCCAAGTTGGCTCATTAATCCCACCCTCTAAACAATTGATATTATTCACTTTTCCTGTGCTTGTGTACTACTCCCTTGAAGAATTGTTTGGAGCAATGAAATCGTTGAGTTTTAATAAGCGTTTTGACATCGATTTCCAGGTCAGAATTCCATGAATCAAGCAAACCTCAGGAGAGTTAAATAAGGATGTTAAAGTGGGAGCAATAGCAGAACAATAGAAAAGTAAACAAAAGCAAAAAATCCTGGGTGAAAAAACATTTGATTATTCCGTCCCATTAAACTAATCAGGGTGTGTGCATAATTTGGCGAAAACTTTTTGTTTTATTCCGTCCCATTATTCTAATTTGGATGCGACATTACTTAGAAGTCCTACAAGACTGTCAAGCGGATTTCACAAGAGTGTCATGCAAGAGTGTCCCAGTGTCGCGCAAAGGTGTCTGGCAAACATGTGAAGCAAGAGCCTCGCAAAAGAGAGTCACAAGAGTGTCAAGCGAAGTATCCTACAAGAGTGTGATGCAAGAGTGTTCCACAGCAGTGCCCTAGAAGAGTGTTGCACAAGAGCGTTCTCCGAGAGTGTCATGCAGTCTGAGATCTTCAATTGTACTTGATTTGCGTTCGGGTCCTTGAGTTCAATCAGGCTTTCCATTGTTTGCTTTTTTAGATTTAGGGCAAGCGCCCCAAACACCATGACGCGCAGTGCCGTACTGCACCAAGGACAATAGTGCAGACTTTGACCTATTTAAGGAGCTATTGCATGAAGTAGGCGAGACGGCGATAGAGGAGAGCCTGGAGAAGCCAAGAGCTTGAGACTTTGCTTTGCAGAAGTGTGTTATCGCTTGCTGCTGCATTTGCTTTTTGAACATCACAGGACCATTGGCATCGCATGAAGATGCACAGGCTTTTCTTCTGAGTTGGAATTTTGAGAATGATTGCTCCTCTCATTTGACAGGCCTCTTCTTCCTCTTGCTGGCGGAACCATTGCGGACGCTGTGGACGAGGTGTCGAAGATTGGAGAGGTAGAAAACTTGTCTAACTTGGCAGAGTTCAGCTTGGAGGCAGCACGCAAAAGATGTCAAGTTTCTAGCCGCGTCAGGCTTCTGCTGAGCGCTGGTTCCGCTCGGATGCACCAGAAGTCTTTGAGAAGCTGATTGGGAAGCTGTCGGAAGGAGATGCTAGTTCACGTTGAGATTCTATCCGCCTGCATCCCATATAATAGCCCAATCTGACAAGTCACACTACAGTGACCACATTGAATACGGCCCAAAGAATGTGGCCGTGCAAGCTCCACTGTACAGGCTTGCCAAGGGTGAAAAGAGAGATTTGGATATGTTTTATATGATTGTCTTTGTTTATTCCAGGGGAAAGAATGTGAAGCATCTCACCATATCCAACGGAAGTTTCGTGTGAAATCCCAAGCTGGGGCCCAAGGCGATAGTGGCGACAGCGATGATGGCGGGGATGCCCGAATTCGTCGATGTGCGAGGAGAAGTTCTATAACAAGCTATACAGAGAGAAAGCTTGCCGGTATGAGGTTCTCATTCGTTTGCGATGCCAACACTCCATATTCTAGAAGTGAACATGACCAAACCTCTCAAGGCGATCGGAGGCGGCGAAGGCGCAAGCCTGGCCTTGAAGGAATCGGAAGTTTCCTGAGTAAAACGAGTGAGATACCTTTGTGTTGTCCACTTGAACCTGGACCAGAATACGCAACCAGATACGCCTCTCCCTGTTGATTTTCCAGTGGCCTAGTTAGCTTACTACGTGCTTTTGCCAGGCAAAGCAAGTCTGGTGAGTCGGAGCAGGCGAGTTGGTGCTGCGACTGGGATGACTGGCAGGGCATGCGATTTTGGTCCGGCGGTTTTTCTTGAGAAAAGCGTTCACCTGTAGTTTCACCAGCCCAAAGAAAAGATCCCACAAGTACAGTGCACACACACATATACTGTATATATATATATATAGACAGAAAACATATTATATGTATATATATATATATTATTAATTACGTTGCAATGATTGTACACTCTGTCAATCAGAGCTGATGGGCATGGAGGAGCAGCTCACGAAAAAGCTGATGCCGAATCTGGTTCGCTTTGTCACTGAAGACCAGCGGGCACTGCAGGTGCAACATGTTGTCTTTGGCACTTCTTGTTTTGCACAAATATATGGCATCCTGGTGAAGAGTTTCCCCTTGCTGCTCCCAGGATGCTTGTGAGCTGCTTTCTTTCTTTGTCCAGAGGTAGCCCAGCTGCTGTTTCAGAGATAGGTGGCTTTAAATTGATTAGAGAGCTATGTTTGAGCGGACAAACTACGTGGGTGAAGGGAGCAAAAGGAGATTTGGTTAGCTGTGCTTGTCAGAAGGGGGTTTCAATTACCTGATGTGCCAATGAAATCGTTGCACACAGTTTTGCAGGTATGTCCGGGCTTACTTTACGTCTTGTTTTATTCAATTGGAACCAGTGTTGTCTTGTGATAGCAGACGAGGCATTTTCCAGACAACAAAGAGCTGGCAGATCTAGCGAAGAAGTGTCAGACTCAGAAGAAATGTTGCTGAGCCTCGCTCTACCAGTTGGAGAAGTCTATGCTGTGTGTTTGTTGTTTGTTTGTTTGTTTGTTTTGTTTTGTTTTTGTTTGTGTGTTTCTTTGTTTGTTTGCTTGCTTGGGGTGTGGTTTTGGTTTTGGTCCGGTTTAGTTTTGTTTCCCTTTTTTGTTTTGTGATGTTTTGTTTGGTTTGGTTTGTTTCTGTTTTGTGTGTGTTTGTGTGTTTGTGTGTTTGTGTGTTTGTTTGTTTGTTTGTTTGTTTGTTTGTGTGCATGTTTGTTTATTTGCTTGCTTGTTTCCTTTTCTACTTGTATGCACCATTTGCAGTAGCTTTTGCGTCAAGTGAGATCAGTCGACCATCCGCCTGCTTCGGGTTTGTTGAGTGGTTTTGTGCCAATGCAAAGAGGCTGTTTTTCCCCAGATAGCGTGAGCTATTGGGGTTCTTATTTCAAGTGTAGGAAGAGATGCATGTGTGCGCTTTCGAGCCTGGGTGCTGTAGGGTGCCCCTGCTGTGTGCGCGTGGGAGCTTCGGCGCTGGTGCCGCTGCTGTGTGCGCGTGGGAGCTTGGGCACTGGTGCCGCTGCCGTGTGCTGCTGCTGTGTGCGTGTGGGAGCTTGGGCGCTGGTGCCGCTTCTGTATGCTGCTGCGGTGTGCTTGTGGGAGTTTGGGTGCTGGTGCCGCTGCTGTGTGCGACTGTTGTGTGCGCAGAGCTTTTGCTGGCAGAGGTTTTCTTGTCATCCCTGTATTGCCAACAGTGCCACTGCTTTTATTATATAAGTCTTTCAAAGATGGGACTTCCACAGATGCATGTGTGTAGCAGTTACACATGTTTGTCGCGAGACATCCATGTGGCATGTAATTGAACTTCAGAAGCGTTGTGCATCGCGAGCGCAGAAGAGGCGACGCCTCAGACTGACATGGGTAGAGAAAACCATGATTCCATTGCTATCTGGGGTCTACGCTGGCGTAATGTTTTGAAATCTCACTATCCCCTTGCCACGGCAAGTTAAACTCTAGCTAAAACGCACCCAGCGAAACAGTATTGTCCGTCTTTGTATGCACCCGTTGCGGCAATGGTATTATGTAAACGTAATGTCAGACCAGAAAGATTGGGGTTCACAAATTCCACTCAGGGATGACTCTGTTGGCAAAGTATAAGGTTTTTGCATTTGTATGGCTTGACGCATGCTCTGCATATGTGTACGCCTGTGTACGCATGCATACATAATGCACGACAGGGCTTGTCGATGCTGGTGTTGGTGTTCGATGACAGTAGATAGCCTCAAGAGCAACAGAAGGACAATCAAGGAAGTTCGAAGAGCTACTAGGAACAAGAAGCTGCTAGGGGCTCCTGGCCATACTACTAGGAGCAAGGACGCTACTAGGGGCTCTTGGCATCGCTACTAGGAGCATTCTTACTTCACTTCCTTGCACAGTTTGCATGCGATGACTAAGATTCCCACTGGATTTTATCTCATCTCATGGTCCTGAGGCCGTCGCCGAAGCGTCTCTTCAAGCAGCTGCTGGGGCCCACAGCCGCGAGCGAGAGTGAGGAAGAATGCTTGATATGTTCAAGTGAAGCTCATACAGGGTTTGATAGTTCTTTGATAGTTCTCTGAGTTTCTGCGGGATCGATTTCTTTCCAGATCAGTCTACAGCACATCCGTCGAATGCGTTGTTGTTTTAAGACGGGGAAGGACCCAACGCACATTTCAGTCTGGCAAATCCTGGTGACGCAGTTTGTCATGTCTTTCAGGCTGGGAGCTCTGGAACGTGAACTAGGCAGAGAACTGTGTTGACGAATCACCTCTTGCCACCTTTCTTTTGTGTAAAAGATGGGAAGATGCCAACCCAGCAGACTGTGAACCAAGCGCTTTGAACATATTGGCGTCCTCAGGCAAAGAAGAAAAGGACTCAGATGAGGACTTGAATTAGCATTGGCATCAAACTAAAGCCAAGTTTGCAGAGAAGACAAGACCAAACAGATTGATGTAGAACGGTTCAGACGAGCCAGGGCGTCCTGTTGCAGGACGAAAAGGATGATAGAGAGCGTGGGGAGAGAGGCCGCGGTTTGTTCGGACAAACTGCTTTGAGCAGACCTCAAAGGTAGTTCCTTTCGAAGCTTCAGCGAGTGCAGGCCGTGAACGAGATGCGAGCTTCGAGGAGGGCATTGGGAGATTGCTGGTAGACATGTCATAGCAATCCAATTTGAACAGCTTTGTCTTCCAACTCCCACCACCTGCCCTGCCTTTCGCCACACCGAATTCGGAATGCAAAGTGCATAGGAGCGGAGACATAGAGATGAAAGAGATGGGCGGTATAGAGATGATCGTGACCGTGATGGTCGGGATCTTACATTTCTTGAATGGAGCATTCCAGAGGTCGCATTGTTAGAGTCCGCGAGTGTTTATTTGTGTTGCAAGATACAAAAATCAGTTTATACAAAGGTCTTGAAGGCTTTTTGCAAAGAAGGGGGTGGACTTGGCTGCCCACACATTCTGTTACTCCGAGGCCGCGACCGTGGAGGACGTGACCCTCGAGATGGTTGGTGGACTCGGAAGTCTTTTCGGATCTTCCTTCGGCGCTTTGTTCGAGTGGACGTTCAGTGCCTTGGCCCAGCCAAGCTCAAGAGACACTCCCCCTTTGACCCGAAAGATGCTCAAGAGAATCGCTAGAAACAAGCTACGATCGGGGCTCTTGGCCTTACAGGAGCGTTCGGACGCTACTAGGGGCACCTGGCATCGCTACTAGGAGCGTTCGGACGCTACTATAGCTGCTTGCAGTCGATGTTTTCAGGTCGTGACGGCCGGCGAGATGATCGAAGGGAGGACCGTCAGAAGCCGAGCTTCGGGATGAGCGGGAGGGACTGAAGGGTTAGGGAAGGGGCGAGCTGAAAGACTTGAAGATTTGCCAGAAGAAAAGAAGGGAAGCTGAACATAAAAGTCCAAATGTCTGAAGAAAAGACAGAAGAGATAGAAAAGGACATAAAGTAAGGAAAGAAATGTTCTTTAAGACTTTGGAAGACAAAACATGGGACAACGTGCTTTTAGGCTATGATGTAATGCTGGCCTAGACTTGTCTTGAACGTATCGAGGCCGCTTCGATGATAGACGAGGTGACCGAGGTGACCGTGGAGGTGCAAAGTGTGGCCCGGCCGGGCTTCGGTGCCGGATGTTCGGCTTGGGGAATAGATGAACCATGGCTATCAGTATCATCACCTCCCTAAGGATCTTTTGGTGACTCCATCACCACCATTCCCAATCTTGGCAATTCGATCCAAGGATCATTTGCGTCATCGCTAGTGCGGCTCGATACGAAACATCTGAACATGGGGACGGTCACAGCTGCAGGTGGCCGACCCGGTGACCGAAGGGATCCTAGACGAGGACCAGGTGCCGAACCTGTGTTTTGCGGACAACATGAATTTGTTGGAATTGTAGCGGGAAGGGTGTAAAGACTATTTCGGGTGTGCTTTAGAATGGGGATGGCCCCCCCAATGGGTTTGAGTGGAGTCTTGCTCTTCTCAGGGGTATTCTGGCTTTCTCCCGGTGTCGATGCGCGCCGCGTGCCCATTTGTTTGGTTTTGTTTGGTTTTACTGCGTTTGGAGGAGGCCGTGACGATCGCCGAGGGGATAGGCCGCCGCTGCCTTAGCTGAGCCGGTTTGATGAGAAGATGATGCATGGATAATGCCAGGCCTTTGCGACCTAAGGCCCGATCGGCGAGGCGGTTACCAAGGCTGGGAGACTCTCAAGCGATTCACTCCACACTGCAAGCATTCCAATTTGACAAAGTCCAGCGAGCAAGGGGCAACAGATAACGTGCTGTCGTTGCTACATCGCTCATGAGCTGTCAGATCATCGCCGTGGGGATCACGGTGGAGGAAAAGGAGATGGTCGTGGAAGAGGTGATGGTATTTTTACAGTAATTCCTATCTTGAAAAGAGAAGTTTACCAGAGACACCAAAGCTACGTCACACAAAGATACAGCATGATGCAGCCACATATATATATATATGATATATTATGTGATATATTATGTGATATATATATATATATATCTGTCAGGCCCAGGTGGTCGAAGCCGCAGCCGCGATGGCCGTGGCCGTGGCGATGGCCGCCGTGATGGCCGCGATGGTCGTGGGGATGGCCGCGATGGTCGTGGAGATGCACGGCGATGACTGGGCGAGCAGGTCGAGGTCAGAGAATCCAAGAGACTAAAGATATCTAATAGATCAAAATTCTCACAATTCTAGATTCTATAAGTAAGGAGTTTAACTCAGTTTAGCCGTTAACCCAAAGACTTTTGGCAACGAGGCATAAGTCAAAGATTGAGTTGAATGTCTCTGGCCTTGACCGCATGTGTCGTGACTCGCGGCACGTATCTTGGTCGTAGACGGACAACGTGGACCCCTGGATGCAAAATGAGTCAGTGGGTGATACTTGGCCGATTGATGGACATATGTGCTATGCAGTGCAGGCTTTATTGGCTGTGTATCCACCGACGTTGGCTCAAGACCATGGTCATTCTGAGCTCAAAGGCCATTGCCAAGGATAGCTTGTAAGAAGTTTGACAAGCAACCAACCTGTGTCCTGAAACCAGGCTTGGCAAAGACGGCGGACCAAGAATGAACAGAGTAAATGCAAAGGCTCCTAAAGCAAAGACCATCGGGGTGGGCCAGCTTCTTGAATCAGAGTACTGCAAATGTGTGTCGATCCAGATGAAGCCTGTCTTTGTGCGTGCCTCAGGCTTGCAATGTAGGACACAATCGGAGAGCTGCAAAGCAGCTTTTCTGATGATTCACAGCTGGAAGGAAATTCAACCTGATTGACTCGAGCTGGATCGGTTCAAGACGGATGCAGAAGCAAGTACTTCCGGGCTGAAAGGATGTTGAAAGAGCTAAGGGGCCCATCCTCTTGCAGCAGCCCGATGGAAGCTTGTTGCAGGTGGGGCTGAAGCTTGAGACCATTTTACACTGAACATGACAAAAAGTTTCTTGCCGCAAGCTTGGTCCATCCATTGAAAGCTTCGGTGACCCCTCCGTCTGATGCTTCTCACTTCCTATTTCCGCTGTGCTTCGCGTCTCAGGGACAGCCGTGGGGTCATGTGGCATCGCCAGCACCGTCCACTCCTTCCGATGTGGAGCAGACGCAGGAGGCCATCCGAGCTTTCGAGGCCGTGCAGATCGCGGAGCATGAGACTTGGTATTCAAGAAGTGGTGGCGGCTCCACCGGCCACACATGTGTGGCCATTCATTTTTGTTCCTTTTGTTATATATATATATACACGCATTTTTTTGTATTCAATGGATTCCTTGTGTTTGGTTTCCATTATGGGATTGGAAGAGTTGATCCTCGAAAATTCCTTGAGGCGATGAACACATCCAGGAAAGTCTTGATTTGCATCCTGTTCCTTCTTTGCATCCAGACAAGCAGTTGTTACGTATCATAAATATGGGGGAAGAACTCTCGCCACGTGCCTAGGCTCGCCAGCATTTTTGTGGAGATATCTCTAGAAGCTGGTGCGCAAACAATGTGGCGTGGCAGAGACTGGATAGGTAGGCAAAAAAAAGATGACACCACCCAAGAAGAAGGTTGAGACACATGAGATAGGTGGAATATATATATATATACATATGATTATATGATTGTAGATGGAACATTTGTTTTGGCCAATTTCTGACGACGGAACCCTCGAAGTACGAGCCACGCTTAAGCTGAGGCATCTGGGCTTGAGCATCCAGAAGCTCTATCCCAAGGCGGCCTTGCTACTCAATATCCTCTATGGATGCTTGGATTTGCAAGTATAGACCGGTGCAGACAATTTGGATGGCTGTATTCAGTGTTCCATGCTATCTGCCACCTAAGGGTTGCTCTACTACTTCCTTGGCTTCCAGGCACAGCGCATAGTGCCTCCTTCAGAATATCCTGGTATTGAGAAAATGGGTCCAATGTGCATTGAATGATGAATAGGGTTGCCATCAGCCGGGTCGAATGGTGCAGGCCATCTATTTTGGCCGCGGAGGAATGTTCTATCGAACCAACAGTTCTCAGCCAAGCAAACCATTCCAATCTGCAAACTGTTTTTGTGATTTGTACCACCACAAATATAAGCGTTTGGAACAACGAGTTGCAAAAATTGATTGCAGCAAGGTCGTATAAGCCAGGGAGCCCACTTGCAACGGTGTCTTGGAGCAATGACGGGACTCGCGACAGATACCGTTAGTCACATCTGGTTTGTAGTCCAAGAACGTCCAACATGAGGTGTAGATGGGATATATATATATATATATATAATCATATAGATGCATTTTTCTGAATAAATTACTTATTATTGACTGTCTTTGTGGATGGGATGTGATCCCAGGCTGCAGCGTGCCTTGCGCCGCTTGGCCTTCGTGGCCTTAATGGGGGCGATGCTGCAACCCATGTTGTCGCGCATGGCCGGGCGGTCGTCCGTGCTGCCCTCGGAGGTTTCGGAGAGTTAAAGACGTCAGATGGCCGGAGATGTTTCGGGGGACCCAACAGACAAGACCTTGACATGCTTCTGGAATTTGTGTCGAATTGCACACTTGACCAAGATTACCTTGAGCTTTTTGCGAGTGGCGACCTTCTCACAGGCCTGGAATGAAAGAAGTTCCAGTGAAACAAGTTCTTGACAGATTCTTGAGGCAAAAGCCTGCCTGACAGATGCTGACAATGCTGCAGCAGCTTCCAGAGCACTTGCATCTCAGCTAGCTGAGTGAGGCGTTCGAGCTGGCCAGTGCTTGCCGGAGCAAGTGAAGGTGGTGAAGATGGATGCTCAGAGTGGGCCATGGCCCGCAATGGTTGCTGCTACGCAAAGCGCGGATTGGTCAACACCAAGTGCTCAAGAATGGTGATGAGCCATCGATGAGGTTCACGAGTGCTGACGATGACAAATACATGCGGCTCTCCACAAGAATGGCACGCTACGAATCGAAACTGCTGTAACAGACATTCGAAAGGACAAAGGCTTAGAGAGGTTGGAACAGATGCTGTTCATGGTGAGGGACTTTTCAACGCACAGGCAAAATGTCGACGTGGAGCATGGACAAAGCAGAAGGCAATTTGCCTTAATTGCAACAGAGGATATCTGCCCTGACATGGAGCCGCTGGAGCAAAAGTTGCTGAGGCTAAGCCCGCAAGGCATGCGCATCAGTCAAAGTGGGTCATGACGGCCAGGGTGGATCTACAAAATACCACTGTCAAGGCCCAAAGATGGCAAATTGCGATGAGAAAATATTCCAAATTGCCATCGTTGATGCTTTTCGGTTGAACGGGAACAATTGTTTTGGTGCGCAAGCCAGAGACTCACGACCTCGCAGCCATATCACCTCCAAAGCTTGGATAGTCATGATTTGTGAATGGAGGAAGCTAAGTGCAAGGTTGATGAAGCTTTGCTTGGCGTGAGATAGTGAGATAGAGACATTGTATTACTTTACGAACAAATATTGTAGTTTATATTCTTGCCTGACGACCAAGCCACAGCAAGCTAGATGTTTTGACATGGGCTGCTTGTGATGAGAACCTTGGCCGTTTGTGGCATGTGCTCTTATGGATGAGGCAGATGGGTGCAGACTGGAGTTAGATCAGAGAGTAGCTTACTTGGTGTCCCAATGGCCGAAAGGTCCATATTTGGAGCCAGCTGGCAGTTTTTCTGTTCTTTAACTCTGGAAATCACAAGAGATCAAGCAGTACATTACAATCTCCCTGCACTTGCGGAGATGTCCGCTGACAGGCTCCATCGCTGCCCTCCTTGCGCTGCGCTCCTGGTGTCGAGAATGTCTGACCTGAAATTCTGAAAGCGAAGCCAGGCTATTCGGTTGGAGGCCATCGCTTCTAGGTTGGAGGCGATTTTTTATTAGCAGGGGGGCAGAGCTGCCTTTTAAACAAGTCTTTTTTGAAGTCACTGAAGTCATGTCCTGAGGCTCGGCCAGGCTCCTGCTGGCCCAGCAGAAGGCGAAGAATTGGAGAAGTTGGAGGGACAGCAGGGACAGCTCGACTTCTAAGCTTTGTATAACAAAACAAATCTATGGAGGTCTATGGGTGTGGTGTCAACTTTGGCTGCTCTTTTCTGGCTGAAACAGGCCTTCGCGGCAGACTTGGAGCGTGAAGGAGCCCAGCCATGGGAGACTTGTGCCTTCGTAAAGCTCTACCAACATGAAGTTTGAAGCTGTGTTCTGGGACAGTGAGGTGAGACGTTTCGAACATGAAAGCAGTCGCCGGTCGAGCTGTTTACCAAATTTGGTGCAACTGTGCAACTTGTATACAGTATATCGACCAAGAACAACACGTCATGAGCTAGCAAGCAGACTGCAGCATGCCGAGGTCGCTTGTCAGCCATTCAGGCACGTCTCATTGAAGTGGGCTGCTCAGTTTTGGAGGGAGCCAACAGGCAATTTAATTGCAGGCTGAAGCTGTGATTCAAAATCCAAATTGACCGACAACTGCAATGCGAATGAAGCTGCTTCCATTCCGCACTAGATTGCTGAGGTCCCGATTGATGCTGTCGAGGAGAGGGTTTCCATAAACATGTTGACTGATCACCGTATTCTTTTGTTTTCGGGCAAGACATGCCTTGCCTGTTGTGTGGAGTGCTCGTTTGCTACAAGCTCTGCAGGTTGCTGTAGCTTTAATGTGCGGGTTGTGATGTTTTTGCCTGGGTCTTCTTGCCCACCGAAACCTCGCTTCAACCTAGTCACGGTGCGAACAGAGACGGGGTAATAGAGCACAGGCTGTACCCAAGTGACTAAGTAGATTCTGTTTCGTGCACAAACAGAGCTTGCCTTGTGCTCCATCAGGTGTACAGATGCAATGTCGTTTTGTAGTAGAGATTGCATTCCTGGTTCCACGCCAGTTCAAGATGGCTTCATTGTGGTGAGTATTGCGTCCATGCTGATTCTGCTCTATTTGTATGTATAATATATACATGTACACAAACACACACAGTTGTGTCGAAGACAGTCGCCCACCCAGAGCCCGACAGTTCTTGTGTTGGGTGATTGACTCACCTTGTAGGAGTGCTCCCAGCGAGAGGAGTCTCGCCATCAGCGTTTGGCAGAGGCTTCAGATTCGTCAGATTCATGTTCGTACAGTTTCTCCTGACTTGATCATAGCAGGGGTAGAGTCGAGTTGACAGACCAAAAAGGACATGTTAAGGTTCTTGTATATCATATTGATTTCTATGACAAGTGAGACCATGCAAAGCCCTGTGGTAAAAGGAAGAAGTACTGTAACCCATTCACCGCCCTCGTATGTCGCATTCTTGAGACAGACCCATGTCATCCATGTGGACGTATTGGGAAACTTGACGAGCAGGCGCTATGTCTCAGTGAACAGGAAGCTGCAGAGGTGAGGGACGAGGGATTGCTAAAGGAACGCATTTCTTTCAAACTACATACAGAAGTGTTTCAAGAGATTGTGATTTTGTGGATTCTTCAGTTTCTCAATCAAGTCAAACAGGATCAATTGTTAAGTGTTCCTTTTATTTCTGTCTAAATGGCAGCAACTATATAATCGTTGTCCACCCTGCAATCTGATATGGAGCAGTATTGAAGGTAGTGTTGAATCAGGAGTTTTGATGCATACGTTGAAGTGCATGGATTCCTTGACTGAGTTTCAGTAGTAGTGAAGAAGAACCTTTTAAGTTGGATTATGTGCCACAATGCTGAAGGAAGCACTTCCATGCTGAATGTTTTTTGCATCAGGCTGCAGCTGAGCGTGATTTGCTGTTTGAGTCCCAGAAACGGGCAAGACGAGAAATCCGGGCGTACAGGACTTGGAGTGCAAGCATAGGTTCTTCTTTTTCTCTTGATAGTCACACTCTGTGCTGAATACGGTTTGATCACCACCAGCTTGAGTCAGCCATGTCTGCATCAACGATGCAGTGTGTTTGATGAGCGATGTTGGAATCTTGCACCTCCGCCATTTTCTTCCGAAGAACCACGTCGTCTTTGTGTTGCATCCCACCTTATTCCCAATGGCCACCAACGGATCTGCTGCGATGAACGGCAAGGATGCTAAGGAGTGGGCTGGTGATGGATGTCTAATTGTCGATTTGCCGCTGCCTTTGTTCAGGATCGAAGCCGCTCCCCTAGAAAGGAGCTGAAGAAAGATCCATCAAAGCTGACGGAGGAAGATTTGAAGGAGATCCTGGGAGCCAGTTTCTTTGCCAGAGAGTTTGCATCCTGAAAGAAAACACATGGCTTTGTGAAATGGCATGTCCAACTTGGTACATGGTGTACAAGCATGCTTAGAGGGTCCGTGCAAATCATCCCACCACGCATGGGTCAGCACACAGGATGGATTCTCCGCGCAAGAGATCTTTAGCTCTGCGATCACCAAGAGTGGCTACACCTACGACGATTTGATTTGCCTTCCTGGCCACATCAACTTTGGAGTCCATGATGTGAATCTTACAACCCGCATCTTGGTCACAGAAGAATAGAGACAGCATATAGAGACCGAGACCTATTTTCTAGGATTTTCTACAAGCGAGGGTCTTGTGCTGTCGCTATGCTGTCCGAGCTAAGGCTTCTCGCGGAAGATCACTTTGAAGACCCCCATCGTGTCCAGCCCGATGGATACCGTCACAGAGTCCAACATGGCCATTGCAATGGCATTGGAAGGTTCGCCGTCATGTCACTGTCGCGACTGTTGCCATTTGCAGTGCAGATGCATCTTTACGTACAAAGACGCAGCTGGCGAAATGTTTGGACAAAGCTGGCGAGGCGGACATGCACAGGTCAAAGACAGGTAGCATCAGGGCACCTGCCTCAGGAGGCGTTCGAAAGATTGCTCCCAGTATCCGGGACAAGGGCCCTCGCTGGGTGACCGTGTGTCATCCCTCATTCAGTTGCAACATCCAGTGTGTGTGCATATTTGTGTGCTTGAGGTTGACTGCAGGGCTGCGACCAAGGGTGGACGTGCTTCAAACTATTCATTTATGTACCTATCTGTCTCAACCTCTGTTTGTCTGTTGCATCCGTCTATCGGTTTTTGTTTATATTTTGTCACATGCCTGCAAAAATCAATTTTGTCCCCATTTGCCATACTTGTCTTCATTTGGTGATAACATCCTTAACTCTGAGCTGCCCTTAGCACCTCCCAACGCTTATATGCAGTCTGCTTGCATGCAGGAGATTCTCCTGGCACCCTGCACAAGCATCAGCCCAAATAGAAAGACTTTTGTGACTTTTATATCTGAATGGGCACATCAGGCGACGTCAGCACCAAACACATAGTCAGCGTCATGGGCTAGACTAACCTCAGCTGTGTACTGCGGCCGCAAAAACGGGTATCTAAAAGAGGCGGTGCAGGCTCTAAAATGCGCATGCATGCTAATCCAAAATGTCCTTATCACAAGAAGTCTCTCAACTTATCATTTCTGCGCCAACCTGCTGAGCACACACACACACACAGACTTGAACACACTTGAGCCTATAATTCGGCTGGACTAGGAGTGTTCTGTGGCCAATCTTCGTTTCACCGGCGATGTTAACTGTGCTGAAAGATACTGGGATTGTTTGGCAGCTGCTTCTGAACCTTTTGGGTTTTATGGAGGTGGACTCGGGGTCATCCACACCAACCTCTCCATCGAGGCCCAGGCCAATGAAGTGGCGCGAGTGAAGAAGTTCAAGGCACCAGCTGCGAGTGTCAGGCGACGAGCGGTAGATACGCTACAGTAAGACTTAAGATTCAACATTATTCCAACTGTTTGTTATAGTGGGAATAGGCGGAGTCCGTTTTTGTCCCTTCCTTTGCCGGGTGCGGAAGTTTAGAGTTCAGGGCTTCAGTTGTTGTCATTCGTGGTTCGAAGCCTGTTTGAGTTCTGGCTGATGCTTTTCAGTTTCGATTTTTCCACTTTCCCACTGTACAGTATGTTCCAATACCTATTTTTTCACTATGCAACGAAGGCAGCTCATGAGGCACTTTTGGGCCAAGACATGCGAAGCTCTTTTAGCAAGCAAGCGTCGCGAGCGTCAAAGGCTGGCTTTATCATTGACCCGGTTTGCGTGCCTCCAACCATGACTTTGGAGGAGCTTTGAATGTCAGAGCTGTTTCAAGCCCGAATATTTCTATTTTGAAACATATATTAATGATGATGGTGAGGTTTATTGTGTATTGCAGCTGCAGGAGCTTGATCAGTTGAAGAGCAAGTTGGGTTTCACAGGCAGTGGGCTAAATTCCGGCCAATTCGGATATTTTTCAATTGGATTGCGTAGACTCGCTCTAGTTTGGAGCGCGGGAATGCAAATTCTCTAAGTCTTTTTGTGGGATGTGTTGGGAAAGTCGTGAAAAACACACCAAAGGTTCCAGTGCAGTGCCAACGACTGGCAGGTTTCCCAGTCACAGAAAATGGCCAGATGGGTCGTCCACTCTTGGGCCTGGTTACAAAGCGTGACACAGAATCATGGCCTTCTGATACAGGTTGGACTGTCGGGCCTGTTTATTGTTGCATCACAAAATCGATTGTTTTATTGTAGTCTTCCCAACAAAGCAACACGGGCCAGTTCCGGACAAAGCTGAGGACTTCATCACTGACAGGAAAACCAGGCTCAGCGCGATCATGACACCCCTCAGTCAATTGGTCACTGAGAAGGAGGGCATTGATTTGAAGCAGGCGAACGAGACCTTGCAGAAGTCCAAGAAGGACTGCGATGCCAATGTGTGCTTAGTTGGCCGTTGCCATGCGGTATGCTGGGATTCCTTACCATCTATATGCTCTCAACAAAGGTGCATGCTATCTAGGGGTAATCAATACTGTCGATGGAAGATCTTCGCGCGAGCTATGACACCCCAAGCGCTGCAAATTGTGAATATTCTATTCTTCCCAAATAGACGCCACATGATTTCTTTCTATTTTCTTGTGCTGATATTGGGTTGCACAAAAGCTACTCAAAGCACTTTGCTGCATTGCACGTGCAGGGTAAACTTCCGATTATCACCAACACCAACCTGCTCGTTGCACTTGTGGCTCGTACTGACATCAAGAATCTTGGCCTTGCGCAGCACTGAAACGGATTTTATCCAAATTCATAAAAAGTCACTCCATGGAATCAGGTCACCTGGGTACTCCCTAGCAACCGTTTTATAGCACTATAGAATCGAATCACTCAGGTTTCTCGATTCTAAAAGGAACCAGGGAAATTTCCGACAAGGGTGCAATTTGACCTAGTTGACCGTTAGAACTTGAGATATATGTTTCCGTGAGCTTTGTACTGGTGACATGGGGACTTTGACTTTTTAGTGACAGACATGTTGATGGTCATTGAGTGATCATGATTCTATAGAGGAACAGTGCTATGATAATCTATGACATTGCTGTTTAGTGACCTTGATTATATAGAGGGAGTTTCCAGAAAGCATTTTCCGTTCTTGCCACAGGTTGAGTGAAATATTCTGTGTGGTTCAGTGTGCCAGCGCGTGGTAATCATCAGTGCTGGACAATTCTGTTTCGTCAACAGTTGTGCTCTTTCAAGTGTTTTCTTTTCCAACTTTGTGGTCTTTCAACTTTCCCGTGCAAGGCTCATGAGGCAATGAACAAGCAAGCAACAAACAAAATGAACAGGCAGACCAGAGCGGAAAGAAAAATGGACATCGGCAGAAATCACACATCGTCCGAAAGACGTTGCTGGAGGTTGTCGGAAACATTCTTCGAAAACACATCGGATCACTATAGAATCAGAGTGTTTTGAACATATGATATTGTAAGGATTCGGTTTGTGAGATGGGGGTTGTGATTCTTTAGTGTTGAATAGTTCATATATAATTTCTGTGAGCTTTCACTTCACGACAAAGGGCCTTTGATTCTATAGCGTGTGCGTGAGCTGGGGGGCATGATTTTATAGAAACCCCCACATGGGGGGGCGTCGATCTATAGTATGAATTTGGGCTACAAGTACCCATATGAATTTCAAAGGGGATTTTATCCTGTTTGTTGGAGAGAGAGAGAGAGAGCACGGTTTTTTGGAAACTGAAGATTTCGCAGTCAAGGAAGAACGTTGAGTTCCCAAATGCAACAAAGCATCCTGTGAACAAAGAGCTGCTGGTCGCTGCAGCCATTGGTACCAGACCGGCGGACAGAGAGCGAGTTCGAGCCCTGGCAGCTGCTCGGGTGGATGCAATCATCATCGATAGCAGTCAGGGAGACAGCGTCTTTCAACACGAGATGATCAAGTGATCCTGGCAGAGCTTTACTGGGCTCAGCCAGTGGAGTCAGGAGTCCATGGTAAAGTGAATGCTGTACATTTGGGTCAAAACTATCCGTCTTTGAAAGGTGCATTCTGATTCAGCTTGCAGCCATGTTTAGCATGTTAACCCCTCTCAGTTGAAAAGAGTACCTGGCAAAAGACATGTGAGAGAGGTACTTTCGGAGCTCCTGCAGAGCCCATGTGAACCGGGCTCTTTGGCCCCTCGTGATCGAAATGTCTTTGTTGGCCAGGTGGATCAAGAAAGAGTTTCCTGAGATTCAAGTGGTGGCTGGGAATGTGGTCACGAAGCAGCAAGCCAAGCACCTTATTGAGTGTGGAGCAGATGCCTTGCGCGTGGGTATGGGCATTGGATCCATTTGTACCACACAGGAGCGCTGCCATTTTGCCGAACTGAATGCCCAAGGCAAGAGCCATCAGATTCTTTAGGCGAAGACTTGAGCCATAAGAGCCACAATGCTTTTTTGGGGCAAAGCATGATGACGCTTCACGTAGGTGGCGAACTATCTCGTGTGTGACTAGTGAGTGTTTCTTTCGCCAGGAAGTGTGCGCATGCGGCCGAGCACAAGCATCTGCTGTTTACAATGTTGCAAAGCTTGCGAAGCTGGGCTGCCTTTAGGGCTTTTCTTGCAAGAAATTGCAAAGGCTGCAAGGTTTGACGGTTCGTTGCAGTGTGAGTTTGACGTGTTCTTCATGTTGGCCTACCTTTCCAGGAATCTCTATGGTGTCCCGATCCTTGCCGATGGTGGCATTAGCAGCCCTGGACACATCGTCAAAGCGTTGAGCTTGGGCGCAGGTGCAGCCATGTGTGGCAGCCTGTTGGCCGGAACCTCTGAGACTCCTGGTGAGTACTTCTACTCTGAGGAGCGGCTTGCTGTGGATCACAAAACAAATTCGTTATAGTAATAGCACATATATATACATATATATAGTCATATAATAACATGCCTTTGGTGACGTGTTCGTCCGTGGGTCGCTCCAAATTGAACTCCGAGACGTCACTTTTGAGTGTCCACCAACGAAGTCTTCTCCTGGAGGAAGGAAAACGCTTGAAGCGCTACCGTGGCATGGGCTCCATCGATGCCATGAAGAAAGGCTCTGATGATCGATATTTCGGAACCACCTCGGCCATCAAGGTGGCTCAGGGAGTCTCAGGCACGGTGCAGGACAAGGGCAGCATCCATCGCTACATTCCGTGCCCATGAGTCTCAGCACGTACATGAGTCCCAACACTTCAACATGGTGTTCACAAAAAAACTGCTGCAGCTGGAAGTAGAGTACCGTAAAAGCCTGATTGCTTTTTGTCAGTCCAGGTACCTGACACAGGGCATCCGTCACGGCATGCAGGAGACCTTTCGTCAAGAGCTGCATGATTCACAGCTTGTGTCACCGCTTGGTCCATCTCAGAAGCCACAAAAAACACCATGTCCTACTCGAATTTCCCACACCTTCCTTCAAACATTATTGAACTCTTCAAAGCTAGCTTTCAACATTGACTCTCATAGTCTCCACCCACCAGGACATTGGCGCGAAGAGCGTGTCGGAGTTGCAAGACATGCTGCAGTACCTTGGCAGGAACTACTGTTGTATCATCAATTCAGTCCCCATTGGGGTGACCCTTGCTCACTAGAAATGCAAGCAGCACAGATGATGGTGGGCAGTTCAATGGATCCTGTGCGATACGGTAGAGAGAATGGGTGTATGAGTTCGGAGTTCTGCGTCAGTGCAAAATCAATGTTTGCACTGACAAAAGATGAGACATGAAGCCCAGAAGACTCATGATTTGAGTCACCCACAACACCTCACGAAGATGATAAGACGTGAAGCTGTGAGCAGAGCTTTTAGAGCGAAGACGCACAAAGAGGAACTTCAAAACTTCACAGCACAAGGATACGTAGAAAAGTGGGCGCAAAACACTTCACAGCAGTTTCATGACGCGCAGTTGTCAATGGTTGTACATTTAATGTTTGCTGCAGAGTTGCTAAAAGCAACAGTTGTGTCCAGCAAATTAGAGCTTGTGCAATTGAATGCAGAGTCGCTTTTCGGTGCTGGGGAGCATGTTTCAAGGTCCGGCCCTATGCACGAACTTTGCACACATGCAGATAGCCCATGTCTATAGGCAACTATTGACTATAGACAACATTAGACAACCATGTCTATCGACTTGCTATAGGTGCATGACCCTCAGCTCGAGCCCTCCGCTCTGTCAGGCAAGGGCATCTCCGATTTGAGCTGCGTTCGGCCGCTGCACAGCGGGAAGGAGGAGTGCATGGCCTTCACAGCTTTGAGCGAAAGCTCTTCGATGCTTGAGTCTGCCAAGGAAGGATGGTGCAAGAGTCACAACATCTTTCCATGTGCACGAGATTTGGTAGGGAAGCTCTTCTTGATTTGAGGTCGCTGGCGACCAGGAATTTTGGAGTTCGTTGCTTGCCCAATTCACACCTTTTTTGGTTTTATTAATGCTCCAAAAATGACACCTTACGCTGTCCTTTGTTGCATTGAGCAAGCTATGCTTGTGGCTCCCTGTGCCAATTGAAGGCACAGAAAGGGCGCCTTCATGTGGTTGGCATGAGCATTTTTGCCATTCCAATAAAGTGATGCAGTATTGTTTGAGTTCTAGATGTTGTAGACTTGTTTCCAAATTGCTGATGCTTCCTCACAAGCTTTTGCATTCTCTTGGGGCCATTTCCCAGCACTGGGAGATAGCTTTCCGAAGAGGCGACATTTGAAGGCTTTGCCTCAGACAAGTCGCTTGAGGCTGGTCACTGTAGGAGGCCAAGTTTGAGGCTCACATTAATTGAACTTTTAGTAGGAGCAAGGACGCTACTAGGGGCTCCTGGCATCGCTACTAGGAGCAAGAAGCTACTAGGGGCTGGACCAATGGCGACCGCCTGGCAACCTGTCCTTTTGAGCCGTTCAATTGTCGCACCTGCACAGCCTGATGCCCCCCTTGCTTGGAGAGCGGATATTGCCTTTGGTGGGCATTCAGGCTGTGTTCTTTGGAGTTAACGGAAGCAATGTGTGCTTCAGCATGGGCTAGAAGCCAAAGCATTTGCACTTTCACAGGTAGACACCCCAAGAAATCATAGCCTTGCAAACATCCAGTGTGTGAAAAGTTGGACAGACGTATGGCACATCTTGGTGGTGATTGCACTTGATTCATTTGCCCGAAAGAAGATATTGAGATCAAGAAAATGCTTTCCCGAAGCGGACTATATATATGCATATATCTATACATACGTATATATATATACAACGCATATATATATATATATATACGTAGCTGTTCCTTGCAACTGCCGATTGGCATCATCCTCCAAACCGACTTGACCACATCAGTGAATTTGTTGAGGCGCCAAGAGCTTCAGGAAGCCAACAGAGCATCGAACCTAGCTTTGAAGTGTTCGCCAGTTGGGCTGGCTGAGAGCAGTGACCTCATAGACTGGTAGATCAGCAATCCTGCTCAGGCTGTGGCAACGACGCCCCAAGCTGCACTCTCCTGAGCTGGCTGGTCTTGCAAGGGGGAGACAATCGGTGAGCAAGCTAGGACTAGGAGCCCAGAAATATGGCAACTTGACCAACGGAACGAAATACAGTGAAATATATAGCTTGCATCGTATTAGGTTGCTAGCGTCCTTGCTCCTAGTAGTAAGGCCAGGAGCCCCTAGTAGCGTCCTTGCTCCTAGTTGTAAGGCCAGGAGCCCCTAGTTCTTGCTCCTAGTAGTAAGGCCAGGAGCCCCTAATAGCGTCCTTGCTCCTAGTAGTAAGGCCAGGAGCCCCTAATAGCGTCCTTGCTCCTGGTAGTAAGGCCAGGAGCCCCTAGTCCTTGCTCCTAGTAGTAAGGCCAGGAGCCCCTAGTAGCGTCCTTGCTCCTAGTTGTAAGGCCAGGAGCCCCTAGTCCTTGCTCCTAGTAGTAAGGCCAGGAGCCCCTAGTAGCGTCCTGCTCCTAGTAGTAAGGCCAGGAGCCCCTAGTCCTTGCTCCTAGTAGTAAGGCCAGGAGCCCCTAGTAGCGTCCTTGCTCCTAGTAGTAAGGCCAGGAGCCCCTAGTAGCGTCCCTGCTCCTAGTAGTAAGGCCAGGAGCCCCTAGTCCTTGCTCCTAGTAGTAAGGCCAGGAGCCCCTAGTCCTTGCTCCTAGTTGTAAGGCCAGGAGCTCCTAGTCCTTGCTCCTAGTAGTAAGGCCAGGAGCCCCTAGTAGCGTCCTTGCTCCTTGATTCAGATTGAAAAACAATAAGAATCCATTGTGACCGAGGCACAGTTGGCCCAGGAGCTCCGTGACGCGGAATTGGCCCAGCGATGCTGGTGTGAAGAGCTGCAGGAGGTGGAGTTGGGCAGATTGTCGATTCTTTTTTTCTTCCCATTGCATGAGAGATTGAGACTGCAGGTTCGGCAACTGCAAGCAGGCTTGGAGAGTAGCCTGAGTCAGCTGCAGTCTTACTCCAGAAACGTGCATGCAAATCACAATCTGAAGAACTTTCCAATCTTGGCAAAGGTAAGCAATGCAAACAACACCTGCCGCAAGGGGCGTTCGACTGGAGCATCTCTGCCCTTTCAACTGCAGAGTTTCTTCCGATGGAGCACGACCTGCACACGGCACAGGCAATCACACGAGCCACAGACCATGCCAAGAACATCTCCCACGAAGAATGCTCTTAACAATGCGTAAGAACATGAATGCCGCAGCTATGAATCGAACCTACGGAAGCATCCTTTGCCACTCACCGGCATGGTGAAAGGCATGGTAGGAGCGCAGATTGTGGCAATGAATGTTTTGCTGAGTCATAGGAGATGTTGCTCCAGATTCTCTACTACTACAGGTCTTCAATCAGATCTCAGATGCAGAAAACATGTCCACATTGAACCATTGCACCAGACCAAATGCCTGAAAACTTTAGCAATACCTTGTTGTTTTGCGGCAAGTTCACATCACCGCGTGACACAGTCATGAAAAAGTCATTGTTTTTTAGTTTATCGTGGCCGCTCCATGTGTGAAATTCGCTTGCATTTGCTGGCTCCTGATAATACAATTTGCAGCTGTGGCAGGGTAGTCAGGTACAACTCTGCCCCGTATTTATCTTGCGGTATCGCATTATACTCTACCTACCTCTTGTTTTATAGGCTTTAGCCGAGCGGATTCTATCAGGGGCTGCAACCATCTTGGCATTTTTCACTCTGTGCAGACAAATCTTAGGTGCAAGGAAGAAGCTTCTAGTGAGGCTGCTGAGAGCCAACGCTTGCGCAAATGCCTTGAAGAACGAGGCAGGGACTTCCGCTTCTTGGGACGCCTCTCAGACTGGCCTTCTGAACAAAAGCTGTCGGGAATTCAAAGCAGGTTTCATAAAGGCTGCAATAGGCTCTTTCTATGTAATACGAGTGGAACGGTCAATCCAATTTATATATGTATATATAGATACTGGCTGCGGTGGTGTGATGAAATGCTCACATTGGATGTTGAGGCTGTGGCTTGAGCTGGTTGCGAGGCATAGCGCCTGGGGTCCCAGCGGGAACAGAGCGAACTCGTTTTCTTCAACAGTGAAAGGATCAACATTTGGTTTGGAGCAGGCGGATCAGGTTCCAGACAATGTTTTAGATTCCAGAGGCAAGTCGGGAGGCTCCTGAATATGTGCTCGAGAATATCGAAATGCGCTTGTTGTGGATAGCACTGCTGTGACAATCGCTTGCAGATAAACATGAATACATGAAGCATGTTGTGAAGCCTCGAACATCGAAGAAGCATGTGTCATCAAGGCGGTCTCATGTGGAAGATCTGCAGGGCAGTGCTGATGGCTAAGCTTTCCCCTGCTGGGCAGTTGGAGAGAGTTGTCAACTCTTTGGCGGGGCATATACTTTCAACTGGATTTCAATCACACTGTGTTTGACAGTGCATTCTTGTGGGTCGGCAAAGGGAATGCAACTCAACTGCGTCCAGCAAGCTCTCCTTTTTGTAGGTTACCTCGCTGGACAACCATTTGCATCCTGCGCTGCAGGTGTGAGGAAGGGGTGGTTTTGTGGCTCCTTGCATAGAGAATAGAGTTCTAGATGATTTCAGAAGGGGGAAGCTAGTGTGTGTGTGTGTGTACCCCTTGTAATCACAGGGATTCCGTTGAATTGTTTTTTTCTTTTTAGCAGGGGGACCATCCATGTGCTGTGAGCGATGGTCCAACGAAGCGGCCACAGCACATGCGGA